AAAAAACAAACAAAACTGGAAAATCAGTCGATTACGTTATGAGATAAAAAAAATTGATGTGCAAATTTACTTATTTTATTTTTTATTTAACTAAATATGTTTCGCTTTACGAGATAGTTTTAAACGTCAAATTTATCAAAGAATTTCTCATTTATTATCAAAAAGATGTTACACGTCAGGTCCCATCATTACAAAACTTGATGATATCATTAACAATGCGAATAAAAATTTAAATTTGTTGAACCGTTCTAAAGATTGGAATTTGATTAAAAATGAAACACGGAAATTACAAAATCAACTACAGGTATATATATAAATATTTTAAGAAAAAAAAAAAAAGTGTAAGAATATCTCTGAAAGTGTTAAAATTTTTGTTAAATTTATGTATCGTTAATTTTTAAAGAAAGTCGGAAACTTTGTGGAATGATCCGTCGGTGGCCACAGTATTGCAAAAAAGGTTTTCTAAATTAAATGATGAAATTGAAAGATATGAACGATTAAATAAGAATGTTAAGGATTTTAAAAAAAAAAGTGTTTTTTTTTAAATTTTTTAAAAGAAAATTTTGATAAAAAAAAAAAATTTTAGAATTGGCTAATGAGGAAAATGATATGGAATTTATGAATGCTGCTTTATATGATGCGGAAATGTTAGAAAAAGAAATAAAGAAATTTATATCAACTTCGTTTATGTATGTATAATCTATGTTAAATTTGAAGTTTTCATTTTTAAATAATTAAATAATATAATTGATTTTTTTCTTTTTGAAGGACTGAGGAAGAAGATCAAAATGGTTGTATTATACAAATTACACCTGGTGCAGGTGGAGCCGAGAGTTGTGATTGGTCTGATATGTTATTAAAAATGTATGAAAAATGGGGAGTTAAAAATGGATATAAAATCAAGTTAATGGATTACGTTAAAGGAGAAATTGTTGGATGTAGATTAGCATTCTTATAAATTGATGGAGAATACGCTTATGGATGGTGTAAGCATGAATCTGGAGTTCATAGATTAGTTAGAATATCTCCTTTTGACACTCAAAGTAGAAGACATACATCATTTGCTTCTGTTATTGTGTTTCCTATGGTTATGAAAATGATGGTGTTGGTGCCGGAAATGTTGAAATTCCAAAATCGGATCTAAGGATTGAAGTATTTCGTTCAAGTGGACCTGGCGGGCAACATGTTAATGTTACTGAAAGTGCTGTCAGAATTACTCATATTCCAACTAAAATTGTTGCACAATGTCAATCGGGAAGATCTCAGCGCGCAAATAAAGTCTTGGCCATGACAATGCTTAAATCTAGATTATATGATAAAGTTATGAAGGAAAGGTAAGGTGATTTAACGAAATTTCATTTTACAACACACTTTTACATTGATATTTATTTGTAATTATAGAAAAAAAACCAAACAAGTACAATATTCAAACCTATCCGAGAATGCTTGGGGATCTCAAATTAGATCTTATGTATTACATCCTTATCAGGTTCGTATTAAAACCAATTTTAATATTTGCTATGAAATAATCTTAATTTAAACATATTCCCTTTTTTTTATTAGCTTATCAAAGATGCTAGAACTGGATTTGAAACTACTCAGATTGATGATGTATTAAACGAAGGTGAATTAGATGGGTAAGTAATTTACTATACAGATATAAATTGATTTATCGTGAAATGATTTTAATTTTCCCTCCTCTTTTACAGTTTTATGGAAGCATCTTTAACAAAATTTACTAAAAACCTTAATGATTAACATTAATAAATTTAAACAAACAAAATTATATTAATACAATGAACTTTTCTCCGTATAATGTTCTTTCCCAACGGGAAGTCCCTCTCTGATCTCTGACAAAGTATTTTCTCTTAATGGTGTATCAGAAAATAACGCACAAATAAGTCCTTCCAATTCATCGATAGTAAAACATACGAGTTCACCATTACGAAATCTACTCATGATCCCTGCGAGTGGTAAATCAAGTATGTCTGTCATATGACGAAATTTCGTCCGGTGTTTTATGTATTTTTCTATCGAATTTATCTACAAATAAGTGTATAATTGAATAATTAATAATTCGAATTTATATTCTTTGTAACAAGGGAAGAATTACATTACCTCTTTTCTATTAAAAAAATTTTCTATTTGAAATAACATTGTACATATTAAATTTAATTGTTGTGATTCTTCCGCTGATATATCATATAAATCTTCAATATAATCTATCATACGTGTTAATACCGAATCTATCAAATCACCTAATAATGAATAGTATTCCGTTGGACGTAAAATATCCTATATGGAATTTGATATCTTAATAAATAACATAAACATAATATATCAACATCGTTTTACTACTTACTTCCAAATTTTTGATAAATGGTTCATAGTATATACAATTGATTCATTGCACTTTGACATGCTTCAAACCTTTCATCATTTGCAATTTGTTGTACTCCGCCCATTTCATCTAAAATCTCTTTAAGAATACTTTTTTGCTTATCCTTAAAGAAAAAGAAATTTGGTTATCAAATACGAACAAAGTTATTCAAAGTGAGTTGTTTTGAATTTGTTAATTATATAACTTACCATCTGAATATCATACCATGTTTTACCTAATTCCCTTAATTTCTCAATAGTATCATTATATGAGATTTTACCTTTAATGTCGACGGTTTCTCCAGAATTAGATGGAGATGATTGATCGTCTTTGAATTGGTCTTGGACAACTAAAAGTTGATCCGCAAGCCATAAACAATCATTCCTAAATAGCATGGCTAAAGCAGGTACATTACTAAATGTGTTATGATGGAAAACTGGCATTACGGCACGATATAAATCAAACAAGTCGAGAGTTGCTTGATAAAGACGTATCCCACTATTGTTTGTTCGCAAAATTTAATAAATTAGTAAATATTCATTTAGGGTTAAAATCGATTAAATAAATAAATAAATAATACCTTTTGGCATTTAAATTACGAATCTCATTCAAAGTTTTTATTACTAAATCTATTAGTGCCTTTCCTTTATTTGAAATGGAATATCGAACTAGTTTCTTATCCTTTATTCCCTGTTCACTAATTATATTTTTACTAATTAAATTTTCATTATGGTTTTGTGAATTATTCGATTTATCCCAATCATCATCTCCATCCCATCCCTCATTCCAATCGACTTCCCAACCATCGTTAGGATTATTATTATCATTTTGAATGGCAAATAAATCCTTATTTCCATCTTCTTTTTGTTCATTAATTTCGTCAATTTTACTAGATTCAATGACTGGCACATTATTCAAAGTCTCTTGTACATTATCGTTTTGTTCTGAATCCTGTTCCTCCGTGATTTCTTCACTCTCGAAATTTACATCCATCATAACGTTACGTCCAAGTTCTAATAACTTGTCACGTTTTTTAATTGTAAAATGAACATCAACCTTCGCAACATATGAACCTAAAGTTCTTTCCTCCTCCTCTTCTCCACCTCGAGACTCACGCATAAATCCCATTTTACGCATTTCGGCCTGAAAACATATTACATCATTTGCCACCTCATCAAACCTTTTGAATTCAAATGTCTCTGTAGGAATCACATGTGAAAGGTATTCGTCGATAACGACATCGCGTAAGTCATGCGAGATAAATTTACCAAATGTAGATGAATATTGAGTGGCAAGTGGTAATATTACAAGTTTTTAGTAGAAGGGTCGAGACCTCCAAATATGAATGTATAAATGAATTTGAATATAGTAATCAATGGTGTAAATACTCTATCTAAAAAAATAAAGACATTAGTAAAAGAAATTTTAAAGCTTTTCATAATACGAACTAATTAATAAATCACCTTGAATTGTACTCTTATCATTCAAGTCTGGACCAATTATAAAACGAGCGGTAAATATTGTCATCAACCTCTATGGAAGCATTCCAAGAGTCGCGATGCTTCAATAAGGGTATGATTAAATACTTCATTACATTCTTTTTTAATCTCGATAATTGCATATTAATTGAATCAACCTCGTTGAGGGAAATAAACACTGATGTTAAAAGTGCAGTGGTGTTCGCACCTAAACAAAAAAATCAACTTTATTAATAAATACGAATTTACATGTATAATGATTTTTTTTTTAAAAAAAAAAAATAATAAAAATACCTGCCTTCTACGGAGGATAATACAGTGAGATTAGATCCCTCATCATCAATTTTTTTGAAAGAAATTGATTGTGTTAATAAATCATCAAGGGTTTGATCCAATGATTCTTTCATAATGGATAATTGTAACTAATGATATAACAATAAAAATAACAAATTTTTTTTTTTAATTACAAATCACTGACCACGTATTCTTCGATTCAAATATTTATATACTTTGAGAACGAACCTTTAGCCTATCAAAAATTTGAATTTTTCGCTCAGTTGGTACAGGAGGAGATTCTAATAAGCTATCCTATGGAAAATACGTTACACTTGTATTAAGTAAATTGAACTTATAAAAAATTATATAATAGTATTTTATAATTCTTCTCGTACCATATGTGTGATAGTGCCAGCAGCTTCCTCAATTCGACCTTGGTCTAAATATTCGTGAAACCTCTTTATACATTTTGTATCTTTTCATTACAAGACGAAATATGGTTGTTTTAAATATAGAAATGGTATAATTTACCGAACACCTATAAGATATTTCATATCAAATACCTCACTCAAGTATTCTAAAGTTTCCACCACTGAATTAGTGTTCTGAACCTCCTGCATTACAGACCTATTCTCTTGTAACACATCAATAAGTTTTGGCCTCATTCCAGTCTGTACTTGGTTTAATAATCAAAATAAAAAATTTAAAATATTGACTTTCAAGATTTCTTGATCTTTCTTATTAATTAATCTTTCAAATTCATCAAATCGGCTTAAAATAATACCTCGGGACGATTTACTTCTTGAGAAACATTATCGACCTCCGTGAATAATGTATCAATCCTATATCGCAATGAAACAGAATCATTATAAAGTTTAACAAAAACATCTTTATGATCAAGAATTATTTGTAAAGCTTCGGTCTAGAAGTTCAAAGAATTCAATGCCGCGAAACAATGTTTAAGTTAATAATATATTTTACTGTATAGCTAAGTAAGATTTTTTAAAAAAAAGATCAGTATAAATTGAGGATATATCAAACCTTCACGCTTCGAATTTTGTCATCAATTCGTTGAATACACGAAAAAACTGCTTCCTTGTCAGCAGAAGAGGTTGCAAGCAACGTATTTTGCTGCTCTTTAACTGAATCTGTAAGATCTTTTTCTTGATTTCCCTCTATTATGACTGATATAAAGGCTCCCGGAAGTGCTACCGCACTAACCGGTAATGGTGGCATCCTGAAATTCCTGTTAACTCAACTTGTTCGTAAAATGAACATTCAGAGCAGTGTAAAAGAAACGAAAATTTTATGGTGATCAGAAAATCTCATTCACGTGCCTGATCTCATGTGTGAAATGTGACATTGCGAAAGAAAATCTCTCAGAATATCACATTGTGGAATTCATTCTTTCGAAAAAAAAAATAGAAAATAATGAGTCTCTGGGTTGATAAATATAGACCAAAATCTCTTGAAGAGCTTACATATCATACATAGCTAACAAATCGCCTTAAAATTTTGGTAAGGACGATATTTCAAAGTTTACGCGCTTTCCAAAATATAAATATAAGGCGTGTAAAAGCATTCTTACTTTATTTCTTTGCATCGTTACTATTTCAGGCGACTTCAGATTTTCCTCACTTGCTTATATATGGTCCTTC